TTTTAAGTGAAGTCTGCTTTTTTTTTTGAGCATTTCCTTTATAGCGTCACACATTTGTATACCGCTTATATGGAAACACCAGGGCTGCATCTAGACTGGCATGATTTTTGGCAAATGCTTTTAATGGAAAAGTTTTTCCGTTAAAAGCATTTGTGGAAAAGAGCGTCTAGATTGGCACGGATGCTTTTGCGCAAAAGCACTTTTTGCGGAAAAGCATCCATGCCAATCTAGATGCGGTTTTGCGCAAGAAAGCCCCGATCGCCATTTTCGCCATCGGGGCTTTTTTGTGCAAAATGGTTCTCAGTTGTCTACACTGGCCCTCTTGCGCAAAAGCATTTGTGCAAGAGGGCTTTTTCCCGAATGAGAGAGTCATTGTATTTGCGGAAGAACACTGACAATCTTACATTAGATCGTCAGTGCTCTTGCGCAAATGCAAAGTGGCCAGTGTAGACAGCTGGCAAGTTTTTCCGCAAAAGCAACTGCTAACTGCTAACTAACTGCTCCTCCACTTGGTAGCTGGTGTTCTAGCTGTTCAATAAAAATGAAAGGTGGAAGCTACTGAGATAGAAGCAGGAACCTTAAGACAATATCCTCGTGTTTCTTGTCCTATCTTCTTCCCTTTCTAGGTGCTGGAACGAGGGGTGCTGCTAGTTTCCATAATATACAGGACTCCCTTACAAAAGGCTGGCAGAGAATAACTTCAATTTTCACACACCCACAAGAGAAGGACTTGGGGAAAGATGGTGGGACTGGAAAGAAAAAGAAGTTGGAGAAGCCAAAAAATAAGAAGAAGCTTGAGAACAGAAAATGGCAGAACAGAGCTTGAAAACAGAAAACGGCAAAACAGAAAATGCAACCAGAAGTAGAGAAACAAAATGAAAAATAAACAAAGTGAGACCATTAGGAAAGAATGGAAAATAGAACAGGGAAGGATGGAAAATATAAAAGGAAATGGGAGTGGGAGGAAATAGCAATGAGATGCCAAGGGCAAATACAGCTGTTTGTACCTGCTTTTCATTCTAAAAAGGTGGCTATAGAATTTAGTAATGAATACATCTGTAACAGCTTCAAGATGCCTCATGAAAAATAATAGAAACACATTGAAGTTAGTGACTTGTGTCTTTTTTAGTAGTAAATCTCAAACAGCAATGTGCATCTCTATAGTCAGCTGTTTGCTACAATGCTTCCCTTTAGCAAGACACAAAGGACTCTAGTCCTTTCACTGTGACTGATTTGTATTAGTATTTGCAAGCAGTAGCACTTCTAACACTCATTTAAAGATGTTAACAACATAGAAGAAAGGATACACATAGGCTTGAAAACTTGTCTCGAATTAGGTCTTAATTTATCACTTCCGCCTTTGTCTAATACACCTGACAAATCTATTTCCATACACAGCTTATTAGCTATTAAAAGCTAATTATGAATTACTGCTATTTCCAGATTTGTCTTAAGGACATAAACAGCCTCAGGCCTCAGAACATGGGACTCCACATGAAGATGCAGAATATTACGCCTCTGAATAAACTCTTGAAGTGTGCACGTTATGATTAATCCGCTGGCTTCCTTTACACATGCAGAAAAACACGTGTGGCCAACTTTCTTTGATGCACACATGAACATGGCCCTTCTTCAGTGGCTAGGATTTATATTTCACAATAAAAAGATTGTCATTTAGCACCATTTTGATGCTAAGAGGAGATTCTGCTTTTATGACTTAGATACTTTGCTGCTGAATCCACATCCAATGAAAATATTGGCCCATTTCCAGTAGAGGATGTTTGTACTTGCCAGCTATTTTAAATGGGCAGTCTCCTCGATAAAAGTGGGTAGAATTTTTATTTTTCTTCCACTTTGCTTATATAAGGCATTAAAGTACTTTTTAAAAAATAGACAAATTTAGGACAAGAATAGCTCTTGAATATTTGTGACCAATACATAAAGCAGGGGGGAAATATGCACTTCTGTATCTCTAATACTGCACCATTCAAAGGAAGTTTTCCCACATTCTTTACTTTGGACTGAGTCTCTTTTGGAGGGGGAAAACCCCCCAAAATGTACACAATTTTCTGTTCCTTCCCTATCAAGGCCACCTTTGCTAAGCATTGACTCATCATCTACAAAGCCCCACTCCCTTTCCCTCCCAACAAAAGCAGTATACTCATGATCTTTGCACTCCAAATTAGCTGAGTGAACCAAGAATGGACAGCAACAGTGAGAGGTGAATAGATTTTAAGAAAGGAGTAAGCCAGCAGCTGAAAGTTAGTATTTATTCTGATATGTCATTGGCCCTAGGAAGCAAAACCTGGAAAAGCACAAATTCCAGTGATGGCCATATGCCAGCAAACAGCCTTGTTCCAATGTGAATGACTGATTTGACACACTACTAGTGACAAGCTAGTCTCTTAATTTTAGTCCTCAGTGGGTCTCTCTAAAGCACTGGTTCCCAACCTGTGGTCCATGGACCCCTGATGGTCCACGATGGTACTGTAGGGGGTCCGCAGAAAGTTTAGGAAAGGAAAAGAAAGGATCGGGCCCACAGCAGGACTGGGACTTTCTTCCAAGCGATTCTTACCTAGGGCTTGCCATTCATGGCTGCACACATGCTGTCTCCTGCCCTGGAGGTGGGATCTTGATACCCCATGAGGCAACATCCGTCCTCCTGCCACCAGCTGCACTTTTGTTTACGCTTCAGCCCTCTCCCCCTCCCAGTCCCACAGTGAGCTTGATCTTTACTTTTCTTTTCCTATTTTCTTCTCCCTCCAGGATTCCCTGCCCAGCCAAGCACGGGACTGGAGCTGCCTTTGGCCTTGAGAGCCCCCTCACTGTATCTTCCATGGACGGGCAGGGGACAGAGGGGGTAGAAGCTGAGAAAGCAGCACAGGCCAATTGACATGATGGATGCCCCTTCCTGCTGCTCTCATTGGGGAGGTCTGTAAAATTTTAAGTTTGAAAAGGGGTCCATATGCTCGAAAAGGTTGGGAACCACTGCTCTAAATCATACTCATGGAAGACAAACATGCAAACTTACAGTGAAACACTATTTATATACAAGTACAGTCCTGAACTTGTGTCTTTTTTTGTTTTAGTTACTCTATTTGCCCCAAAACATTAAAAAAGATTCCCAAAAGGTGTCTCACAGCCACTAGAGCCAGATAAATTTAGATTACCTACCTGTTATTAAAAAGGGAACAAGTTGCTGGCTGCTTAAGTAGTGACACTGTAGATGATCTCTATTGTTTTGAGTAATAGTTATGTAAGGAGTATTCCCAAGCAGGGTGTTAAGCAGTTGGAAAACTTGATATGTTGGCAAGGATATGGTTGAAAGAAAGGAGTCCTGTTCAGTTCAGTCTTTTGAACTGTAGCTACATCAAAACATCCCTAGCAGTTAGGCAGGCAAGCAGAGCCTCACACGATTAGAAAGATGTCAATAGGTTGTTTCAAATGACACGGTCTTGCACCCACATGCTGTGGGAGACATGATGAAAAGTTTTTCTTCCTTTCCTGAGAAATTAAGAAGCAATGTAGAGAGTGATGCAGTGAATCCCTGATTCGGAATGGCTAAATATGTAATTCTCATAGAGTATTAGATATTTGTAAGTATGTACCAGCATCTTTCTTTAGGGTACGTCTACACTAGCCCCCTAGTAGATGCGGGCAGTTATTCTGGGCTAGTCAGTTTCCAAAATGGCGACCGCCTAGGAACATGCTAATAAAGCGCGGGATATTTAAATCCCGTGCTTCATTTGCAATTTCGGTCGCCCTCATTAGCCTCCCTAGTTCAAACTAGGGGGTTAGTGTAGACATACCCTTACTGTGCCAAATAGTCTACCTGCCACCTAGTTCTACAGATCATCCTATGTTCCCCTGGCTTCCTCACTTCACCCCCATCTTGTGTCTCCATCCAGAAACACAAGGCAAGAAGAGAGATCAGACATTTGGCAAAGCTAGAAAAAGTGGAATTGTCTCATTCCTTAGTAGGAACTAACTGCAATCAAGTTATCTATACTATATGTATATCTATACCACACACAAAACCCACGGTTAGCATGGGCCAGTCACAGGTGGGTTTTTTTGCTATGTGGACATACTCTATAAAGCCTTTCAAATACAAACTTTTTTATTGGGAAAGGGTTGGGTTAGCTGATTGCATGGAAAATCAAACCTTTGGGTATGCACATCTGTCACTTAACTCTGGCAGCAGAGCTGGAAGTAATGAACTAGTACTTATAAATCCTGTTAAAATGAAGTTAAAAAAATTAAAAATTCATCTTTAAATGATAAAGGAGACTTCCCACAAAGCTTATATCTGTCAGCTGTCAGGCTGCAGGTGCTGGTCACTTATATCTTAGGACAAAGCACTGATCAAATAAGTAAAATCTAGAACTGAACAAGTTTGAAAAGAGCAGCACATAAAGCATTCTCTAAAGTACTGGGGAAATGGCTTTTCTCTGAAGAGAATGGAGGTCCATTTGACATGAGTGACGCTGCATTTTAACCCGTGCCATTTGCTATTTGATAAGCAATGGAGGAAATAAAAGGTAAAATGAAGTGTTATCTCATTTTTACCATTAAATATTATAGTAAAACAGCTTTCAGACTCTTCTTTTTAAAGCTCTGAGACTTATGAGCTAGGATTTCCCAATAAAATGTGCTATGCCGAAAGGTATGCAGATAGCAGCAGATCCAGACTTGTTAGCTCCATGAATATTTATCTTGGCCAAAACACAAAATGTGGGCAGAACACGCGGCACATACTAGCAATTAATCCTTCATTTTAGATCTAAATCTGTTCCACAAATTTGCTGTTAACCCGTGTTTAGTGCAGAAAGCCCTGCATTAAAAATGCTTAATCATTAAACATTAATCCAACATTTAAAACTTCTTGAATTTCTGTGTGAAGTACTTCTTTTTGGGATGATCTATAAAGTGACCCACATTAGGATTTTGTCAGGTTGAGAACTACAATACCAAAATTAAAATTAAAAAAGAAAATAGTGAAACTATAAAGCATGACCCCGGTAAGTCGGAACTTTATTAAACTATCATGTTACTCAGAAATGTATAAATGGTCCATTAAATACATTGTTTTTACAGACATTTATATAGATATTTATTTACATTTTCCAAACACATTTAAATTACTTTTTTTTCAAGCTTACTACCAATAAAAGGTAAAATAAAAAAAATAAAACAAAGTCACCTGCTCTTGCAGATGTGTACACAATGACACAGAGAAGGCTAAAAGACACAGTTTCATACTTAACTCACAAGGGAGGTAAGATTCGAATGCTTATGAGATTTAAAGCAATATTCACTCTGAGGTCCTTGCCTATGAGCTATTTAAAACAATTACAGACACACACGAGGACCCCTGGAACAGCTGCTAGCGTTTCGGTATGCTGTCTACAGTGAGATCTGCTTGGTTAAGGGCCTCGTTTTATTAAAATTGTATAACTGGCTGTACCCGAGTGGTTGGTGGATAGCCCATGGAACTGCGTGGGCAGGTAGTTAATTCTGGATGAATTATAGACTTCTAATGGGAGGGAGTGGTAGGAGTGATGCATCAGATAGGCAGATACTCCACAAATAAGCCACCACAATTTTCCAAATAGCTTTCATTTTATGTTTCTTTTAAATGAGGTTTCATTCATAAGTGAATAAAAAAGGCAACTGTTTAAATAAGATATTTAGAGACAGTTTCCCCACACCTACATACATTTTTCTTGGGAAGGCACAGAGCACGTTAAAACAAGTTTTCCCTCTTTCTCTGTATCTTAGTCTGACATGGTGCTAAAATTTGTATCTGCAGAAAAAAGTAGTTAAAAAAAAAAGCTTATGAAACACTAGTGTAAAACATGTCTTTAATTTATCCTTTAGCCACTTTCAACATTAAAACCACATCTGAAGTAGCTAAAGAAGCTTAATTTACAAAACATATTATCATGTGTAAGCTGTGTTTCCTGCTACATGCTCAGTGTTGGTAAAGAAAGGAGGAGGCAGGAAAATGGCTGTTTCTGAGCCATAGCAACATTCAAGTAATTTGATAGTAGATAAACCAGTGGAAAAAAGGAATGGTAAGAAAGTGCTCGGCACCAAGTTGCAGCCTTCACATGTTGAGCTACATCACCTTTGATATGTATTATAAATATGGCACTTTTGTATTACCAAAAGCTGGCAAGTTTGCATCTGACTGAAACAAGTCAGAACATGAGCAATTATTATCCCTAACAGCGACTGGTGGTATTTCCAATAGGTGTGACCTCCAGCTGCACTACGACATCCAGCACCAGTCATTTTTTACTATATCCTACTTGTATGTGCAAGACAATTCTGCCACACTCATGGAGAATAAATTTCTGCCCAGCAGAGTTTCCCTCCTTCCTACACACAGACAGACACACATACACAGTAAGACATGCTATAAATTCTTCAATGAGGTTAAGACAGCCACAAACAGTGAATGTCCTATTTCACCATTTTCAGGCCAACGGTTTCCAGCATGTCCAATTGCCAGCAATGGACTTTGCAACAGGCACAGATGACTTCTGAATCCAAGGAATTAAGAGCCACAGAAAGCGTCTTCACCTACATTCATTTTCTGTACCATTCCAAAGACGTCATTTCAGGTTTGAATAAAGGAACCAACTAGTATAACTGATTAAGCCAAAAAAAAAAAAAAAAGAGGTTCCTGTATACAAAAACTGGCCATAACCCCAACTTTTTTTTCTTTTTTTAAAGAATCACAAAATCATTTGAACTATTAGTTTTCAATTCCTTCAAGTTTGTTTTTTGGCAATGTACCATTCCACAAATGCACAAAGATCTGTGGCACTTGTACTTCACCACAGTAACATTAAATACATTCAAATTCATGCTAAGAAGAGGAAGAGGACCAGAAAAAAAGTAGTTGCTGTCTTCTCATAGTGTTCTGTATATTAGGTACCAGGAGACGTTATTAAACAGTGACGTTATTGTTTTGGATATTTCCCAAGATATCCAGTGCTTAAACATGTGTTTATATTCCAAGATGTTAAAAAAAAAACCATTATTTCAATAGTGGTTTAAATATCTTCCCAATTGTGGTCCGGTTTTCATCTTTCAATTTATGAGAAGACTTTTCCATTATATCTTGTTCCTTTGCTGTAGGTTCTACTTTAGCACTAAGAATATCACTCTGGTCTGTGTTCCTTTTGATAATTTTAGCACTACTTGCTCGTTTTAAGGAGTATCCTGTGCTCTCTTTGGGGATAAGGTCATCAGAGGTTGCTGCTGACCTCATTCTAGGTAGCCTCTGAGACACTGATCGTGTGATGCTCGGTGTTTTTGAAGAGTTAGGTAGATCCACCTTTGCACTCCTTGAGGAAGAGGCCACTGTGTTTCTCGCAAAGCTTGGTACAGAGGATGGTGTCTTGGGAGCATTAGCTGTTGTGCTTTTGTTAGCGTCTGGAAGGGCCTGGGGTTTTACAATGGAGCGACAAATCTTACTTTCCTCTGGTTTGGATTTGGGAATATTTCTGACGGATTTAGAACCTGGCATTTTAAGAGAGCCCTTGCGCTGAAGTTGGTCCCTCTCAAAATGGGTGCTGCTGGAAGTTGCAGTCCCTCTCTGTAATTTTGGCTCCTCTACTGATAAGCTATGTCTGTATGAAGTTCTTGGAAGGGTTTCCATTGTGCCTCGGACAGAGCTGCGGTGCGATGGTTGTGTCTCAGTAGTACTGGCCTCTCGAAGTGCTGGTTTGGCTTCTGGCTTTTTCAGACTGCTCTGTGTTTTGTTAGACCTGGAAATTGGCACCACTTTCCTCATACTCACATTTTCAGATGCATTCAAAGTTCTTATTGGTCTGGGAGTAGTTGTCTGGGTAGGGCGAGTGCCACTAGATTTTGAGGAGTTTAGAGATCTGTCTTTTAGAGAGTTTCTCTTTGGTCCTAAGGATTCTTTACTTTTTACAGGCTTTTCTTTAGGAAAGTTGTGTTTGCTGCTGGAATCCTCTGTGGCATTTGAAGAAGTATGAAGAGAAATTTCCTTTTCAGAGGATGAATTCAGATTTGAGGAGACTGTACTATCCTCATCTCGAACATCATTTGCACAAGTGTAAACTTTGACATCTTGCTCTTTCATTTCATTGCCCACTAATTTTAAATCATTTCCTTCTGAATAGTCCAAAGTCAGAGAACAATCAGTAGCATCAGATACATAGAAAGTTGGCCCATGTTCTTTATTGCCAGAAACACTTGTATCCATAGACGTGGGGCCACTATTGGTATGTTCTGAAACTTCATGCTTGGCACTTGCCACCTTGACTTGACAATCATCAATATTTCTGGAACTTTTGCAAGAGGGCATTGGCTCAGAATTATCCACAGTGCTGAGGGAGTGTAAGCTCAAGTCATCAAGAGTTTCTAAGTCTGTTGCACCAACATCCGCGAAGCTTATTAAAGGCATGTCTTCCATAGGTTTTGTTCCTTGAATATCAGACTTATGCAGTCCCTTAACAACTTCATATTCCTCAACAGCAAGGGGGCCAGCATTTATATCTCCTGCTTCCACACACGGCACAGCTGACCTGTGCTGCTTGTTGTCAGTATTCTTTTGTGAGTAACAGAGGTTAGTACTAGTCAAGCCCACCTCCATATCTTGTAAGCGACTGGGCTGAGCTAAAGGCATCTGAGGTGGATCTGGGCTGTCCGCTTTGGCTTCAGAAGCGCGGTGTAGTTTCAAGTTATTTAAACTGAGATTGCTAGGCTCTTTGGATTCAATTGAAGCTATGCTGGGTCTTGCTTGTCGTGTGTTTGCACGAGGAAGGCTATTGAATTTGTTTGGATCCTCGTCTTTGGAGATTTCCAGGAAAGACAGAAGCTCTCTGTCTGCAGTAATCCCTAAGGATAAGCGGGAGCGCCGAGCACTGGGATTTCTATTCAAAGCACTTTGAGGTCTCTGCCGCAAGAAAGGTCGAAAATCCTCAAGTCCTTTTTTAGCCAACATCTCAACATCATTTTCACTGCTACTTCTCCCGAAACCCCCGAGCTCTCCAGCAGCCCAGGATCGGCGTTTTTCCTCCAACTCCTTCAATTTCTGCTGTTGTTGAAGCTCTTGGCTCTCTCGTTCTCTATTTTCCTGTCAAAGAAAGGAGAGAGGAATAAATACACATTTCAGAGTGAAGCATCCCTTATTTCAAAACAAGCCTCCCATCCCTTCATTTTCTCTTGCAGTGGTTAGTTCCCCACTAAAATCACCATGGCAACCAATGCACCATATGGAGAACAGTTTCCCGCATAACTAATACAGCTCATTAGACTGGACAGCATAGGAAGCACTGAAAAACAATGATCAGATTCCTGCAGAGACCAAGAGTATGAACTACCATATGCTAGGTTTTAAGTCCACTTCTAGTAAGTGTTAAGACAGCAACTTTCAATGATCATGCAAACATTTAAACCAGAAACGTTTTAGACACACAATTAACTTAGGCCATTAAAACAATCTAGCTTGATGCTAAAAAGTTCCATACAGCCCACTAGTTCCATTCCATCCATCTTGAGTTGGAGTACCAAACAGATTATGTTGAAGTACAATTGTTGCAATTGTTCCTTGGCAACAGGCATTCTATAGCCAACTTCCTATGAAGTCCGCAGTGCCTTATACCCAAATTCTATGCAGCAGGCAGGAAATTCTGTGGCAAAGACTTCAATGAACTATATATGAAAGTGATACTCTAATCGGCACAGTATCTTGTGTTCTTTATTTTGATCAATTCAGTGTTATACTTTCCCCACTCTCCAAACTTAACTATATTAACATACTGTTGGTATAAAAATCAGCAACTACAGCAATGGGTTTTTTGGGGCAGGTTAGATTTTTTCTGCTAAAATCACCAGCAGTGAAATAGTTAAATATGGTAGTTTCAGTATAAAATCTAGCAGTGACAAACTATTTAAGTCAGAAACTTTTTTGGGTCGGCAGCCACTGACCCACAGAAAAATCAGTCAGGAGCTGCACACAAGTGAGAAGCAAAGTGAGAAGCCCCTGACTGAGAAGGAGAAAGACACTCCTCACATTCCCCTTGCACATCAGAGCCTAGAGGGGCCCAGGGGAGTAGATTTTGTATACTCCAGTCCTGTGGGTGGATGCCAGACTCAAGAAGATCAGATAACCTCAGAAAGACCTACAACAAGTGGTTCTTCACAACTAGAACTGCTAAAATCAAACTCTCTTCTGAAAGAAAGAGAATGTTTGGATAGTGGAACAAAATTCTGGGGCAAATGGTTTATTCCAGCGATTCCCAACCACCGGTCTGCAGACAGGTGCCGGGCTGCAAACCACTGGCTGCTGGGCCATGATGGATGTAGGGGCTGGAGCTGGGGTACACCACCCAGTGTCTCCCCTCCCACCACGGCTGCTGGGAGAGGTGCATCCTCTCCCACCTCTCAGCCAACCAGAGCTCGGCAAGGGCGGGGTCTCCTCCCGGATACGGAAGAGCAATTCGCTGCATAGCAGAAGGGCTGTATTGGAGCCCGGCACAGCAGCCTTAGATCAGCCATGACCCGGGCAGCAGCACTCAGCTCATGGCTGGGAGGCAGCTCGGAGCT